AGACTGTGGGCGCCTTCCACGATTGGTGGACCGAGTTAAAGCTGAAACGCCACACTGAAGCCTCCTGGGCACTGTCGGGGTTTCCTATCGAGCTGCGCCGGCTCTACATCTGGACACACTCAGAAACTGATTTGACGTTAAAGAAAAAGTAGTTTTTAGGTTTAAAGAAAAAGTAGTTTTTAGGTTTAAAGAAATTAGGTTTAAAGGTTGATTGGCTCTGTAGTGAGAACTGGTCGTCTCCGACCTCCCCCGGACACGGGGAAGGTAAAGGCGAGGTTTTGTCGGTTTTATCCTTGGGGAGTGCTGCCCCCTAAAAATAACGCGTTAGCCAATCTGTGACTTGCTCAAGAAACACAAGTGTTGAGAGGAGTCCACCATAGGAAAAAAGATGAGACAAGAGAATAAAGAGATAAGAGAATAAGATAAAGGTTGATCGCGATCTGTTCCTCTGTAGAGTAGTAAGTGAAATAAGTGATGAGAGGACATCATAGGAGCTGAAAAGCGTGGATCCATTTCTGTGTCTGAAAGCTGTGTGTGTGTCTGTCAGCTGTGTGTGTGTCTGTCAGCTGTGTGTGTAAGCCTCTGCCGCTGAGCAGATGTTACCTGTGTGCTCTTCTCCGTTTATTGCAATGTCTTTTAAAAACTATGGTAAACATTGGGAAATTATAATCTGTGGGAAGGTTCTTTATTTCATCTGTGGTCTTTGACTTTCTCGCCGCCGCGCGAGCAAAATCTTTCCGTTGTGTGTGATTTCCTCGCCGCTGAGCGAGCAAAAAAAAAAAAAAGGGATAAGAGAAAAGAAGTGATTTCGGGCCTAAATTTTGAACCTAAACAAATGGAGGGTGAATCTGAAAAGGAAAAATATGATCCAAAGTGGGGCATCGGGCCATGGATTGGGCTCGGTGAGCAAATAGAAGCATTAATAACCTATTTGTCAAAGCATGACGAATATGAAAATAAGGGAGAAAGAGAAAAACAAAAAAAAAAGGGGCTAGAATACCTGGTGCAGAAAGGAGGCGACCTGTTAAACAGACAGCCTTTGGGGAATATTGGCTGGAAGCAATAATTGACGCTGAGGGAAAACTGGTTGAAACTCAAATAATCCTGCATCATTCACTATATTCACATGTGGTAAAATTAACTGTATGAAGGATGAATGAAATTACATAACAGGTAAAATTATAAACAAAATAAAGTGACATCTAATGGGTTGAAGTTTTTGAAACTCAGCTTAGCTGTAGACAGGGTTAAATTTAAACTTAATGAAACTTGAAAACTGAGGTTTATAGCAGACTTGAACTTTATCATGGACTAATCAAAATGTGTCTCTCTTATTATCTTATCAAAAACAGGATTCCTTTTTATTTGAAACTTGGTCACCTTAAAATGTCTAAAGAGGGAACAGAATTGGTAAATAAATATGAATATTTGTATGAATTAAAAGGTGATTATGAAACAGCTCCAGATTCAATTAAGGTTCATTACAAAATATTCTTGTCTCAAAGACAATTTATGATTCTAAATCTACAGTAGATAATTCGGTTACCTTACTTCAAAATGGGAATGTTGGAAAAGGAGTAATCACATTTCAGCTTTGGTTTAAGACCAGACAGCATTTATTACAAGACTGCTTCATTTAGTTTGACATTTTTTTTTCTTTTCTTTTCATTTTTATTAATATTATTGTTTTTATTTCTTCTAATAACAAACCAACTAACTTACTAACGGAACTAACTCTTGATTTCGAAACACATGCGTGTCTTGGTAGAAAGGCACAAATTGGACATGAAACTTTTAAAGTGGATATGATAATAATTGATTATGTAAAAACAAACTGATTGGACAACAAATGGCTCACAACATTTGTGTGCCTTAAATTTTGATTGAATTGATACATGAATCCAAGTCCAACAAAACATTTGATTTGAAACGCAAAGACATCTTACAGTACTGCATAATTTTGTCTACATCTTTTGCTCCTCTGCCTAAATTGATCAATTTTTCTTTTGTCAGTCCAAAATAAACATTGACACTGCCTTCTAGGAAAGCAATCCAAATTCTGATCTGAACTCTTTAAAATAATAAAACTTTTGGCCTTTGCAGTACAGTTTCAGTTGGACATTTTAGACATATGTACAAAAAAAGAGTCTCTGAACAATA